AATGTACCACATAGGGCTAATTTTGTTTTATTTGTTTTTTTCCCCAGTCTGTACAAAATCTGTTAAATGTTCTGTTTTATAATTTATCTTATAAAATATAGAATGGAGCTTTATGGATTAAGTATAACTACTGCTTTTTCCTTACAGATAAGGCAGGAAGAGGAAGATGCAATTCTTCCTACTCTAAGATCCACAGCTCCATTAGAAGACTTTCATGTCTTTTGAGTTTGTTAGATGATGATTGATAACCACTGTTCCCTGTGTTGCAACTAACCACTCCTATGTGAACGATGGAATGCATTCATCTTTGGGCTGGGGTGTGGCAGCTGCTTCAAATAGGACAAGTTGTGAGGAAGAGTACTGTATCCAACTGAAACACGGCTTCACTGGCAATGTTAAAGCGCTGCGGCAGCGCTTTAACGTGGCTTGTCTAGTTGCGGCGTAGCACTGGGAGAGAGCTCTCCCAGCGCTCTTAAAAAAAACAAAACAAAAAAAACATCTCCATGAGGGGAAGAGCTCCCAGCGGTATTTTACCAGTGCACTGTCTACACTGGCACTTTATAGCTGAAACTTGCAGCTATAAAGGGGGGGGGGGAGGTGTTTTACTGTAGAGTGTGCCGTATAGTTAAGAAGAATATGATTTTTATCCCAAGTGGAATCTGGATGAGATGCCAGGGTTAAAATTCCCATTATCACACAAAAGGCCATGGGATTTTCAGAGACCACAAATGATCATGCCCTTGTTTTTTTTCATCTCATACCACAGGCAGCAATTCTAACAGCACAGAGCACCCTCACCCCATTCTGAGGCATTAAGTAGTGCCTCAAGAGAGCCACCTACTAAATCAATAGCCTTGCTTCCTGCAGAACCCTCAACCTTGTAGAATTTTCCTATCCAAATACTGGACAGATTTGATCCTGTTTGGTTTGTGAGACCAGTGACAATAGAGACTGGAACCTGCTTCTACACTCCTATCTGTTCACTAGGTAACTATACATTTTTGCTGCAGGTATCAGTTGTAATCACTTTCAGACATTTCTTCCTGTGCATTTCTGTTGGGGTGCCCTAACAAATGGAGTAACCTGTATATAGAGTCTATACTTTTTACACACACATACATATACAAAATCAGAAGAAAATATCTGTTTTGTCATTAGCTTTTTTAAAACCCAGGAGGAGTAGGTGCTGTTTGTACAATCCAACATCCCTGCTTCCAAATCCTGTCCGGATTGCACTGATTAAGCTAGCATGAAAATGGATTACATTGATCTTAATTGCTTAATTTATCTTTTACAAAGGTGATGTGAAAGTTGAATTTTGCTTCTCGCTGAGCATTTTCGGTCCTTATAAGGAAAATGTAAAACCAAGACAGGAAGCATGGATTTAAATAATGTGTCAGATAACAGCAAATGCTGTTTGAAGGTGTTTCACTGTAGGAGTTTATTGTAACGTGGGGACGTTTATTGGGGACGTTTGGGATAAGAACATAAGAACAGCCATATTGGATAAAACCAAAGGTCCATCTAGCCCAGTATCCTGTTTTCCAACAGTGGCCAATGCCAGGTGCCCCAGAGGGAATGAACAGAATAGGTAATCATCAAGTGATCCATTCCCTGTCACCCATTCTCAGCTTCTGGCAAACAGAGGCTAGGGATACCATCCCTGCCCATCCTAGCTAATAGCCATTGATGGACCTATCCTCCATGAATGTATTTAGTTATTTTTTGAACCCTGTTATAGTCTTGGCCTTCACAACATCCTTTGGCAAGGAGTTTCACAGGTTGACTCTGCATTGTGTGGAAAAAATACTTGCTTTTGTTTGTTTTAAATCTGCTGCCTATTAATTTCATTTGGTGGCTCTAGTTCTTGTGTTATGAGAAGGAGGAAATAACATTTCCTTATTTACTTTCTCCACACCAGTCACGATTTTATAGACCTCTATCATATCCCCTCTTAGTTGTCTCTTTTCCAAGCTGAAAAGTCTGTCTTATTAATCTCTCCTTATATGGAAGCCATTCCATACCCTTAGTCATTTTTGTTGCCCTTTTCTGAACCGTTTCCAATTCCAATATATCTTTTTTGAGATGGGGCGACCACATCTCCATGCAGTATTCAAGATGTGGGTGTACCATGGATTTATATAGAAGCAATATGATATTTTCTGTATTATCTATCCCTTTCTAATGATTCCCAACATTCTGTTTGCTTTTTTGACTGTGGCTGCACGTTGAGTAGATGTTTTCAGAGAACTAACCACAATGACTCCAAGGTCTCTTTCTTGAGAGGTAACAGCTAATTTAGACCCCATCATTTCATATGTACAGTTAGGATTATGTTTTCCAATGTGCATTACTTTGCATTTATCAACATTGAATTTCATATGCCATTTTGTTGCCCAGTGACCCAGTTTTGAGAGATCCTTTTGTAGCTCTTCGCAGTCTGCCTGGGATTTAACTATCTTGAGTAGTTTTGTATCATCTGCAAATTTTGACACCTTACTGTTTACCGCTTTTGGGTAGTTTGGGGTTACTGGTGAGCAGAAAGCAGGACTTGGGCAAAGAGGTTGAGAAAATAATTAATGCTGATTTGGGGTTCATATTATTTTATTGTTTGCAAATCTGTCACGCCCCAAGCACAATACTCTCTTCCCTAATGATCTAAGAACCAAAGAACATGACACTGTCTGACTAGTGGTCCATCTAGTCCAATATCTTGTCTCTAACAGTATCAGAGATTCAGGGGAGCGTGTACAAAAAAGGGCAGTTGGAGTGATCCATCCCTGTCTTCCCCTTCCGGCCTTCAGTAGTCAGAGATGTAGGGTCATCCTCAGCATGGGGTGGCATCCCAAACCATCTTCACTAATAACCATGGATGAACCTATCCTCCATGAACTTATCCAGTTGTTTTTTTGAATGCAGTTATACTTTTGGCCATCGCAACATGCCATGGCAATGAATTCCACAACTTAATTGTGTGTTGTGTGGAAAAAGTACTTTCTCTTGTTTGTATTAAATCTGTTGCCTATTAATTTCATCAGGTGATCCTCATTTTTGTAGTGTGGGAAAGGGTGAATAACCCTTTTCTAGTCACTTTCTCCACACCATTCATGATTTTGTAGATCTGTCATATACCCCCATAGTCATCACTTTTCTAAGCTGAACAGCCCTAGTTGATAGTCACCACCTAGTTAATAGTCATCTTAGTTACAATAAAAGTTTGCACAAATATTAGTAAATAGTGAAGGTCACTAACATATTTTTTCCCCACACAGTGAAATCTATATGTCTGGGGAAAGTGTTGCAGTTTCCTAAAAAGATAATTTGCAGATACAAAACCACACTTCCCAGAATTTCTGTCTTACAATGGTGTTAGTATCAAGAAGAAGAAATATTACAGCTATTTCACATACCTAGTTATATATGTGACTTTGGGGTGTCGGGTTTTACACACCCAGTTCCAGCAGAAGTTATTTTGATTTTAGCCCATCACTAAAATCAACTCTTCAGTCCCTTCATCCTATTATTACCAGCAATTAAAACTACTTTCAAATAGGGAATTTTAATTCAAGAAGTATAATAAATGTCAGTCCTATAATATGTGCATTAGTGTAATCTAATGTGAGTAGGAAGTCACTTGAGATGGAAAAAAGCAACAGCTCCTCCAGGGCTAGTGCCATAGCACAAGCAACAAAAGGGAAACCCTTGTTAATCCTTTGGAAATATCATGTTAATAAATGAAAATGAGATAATGACTTTTGTGGCTAGCTGAATCTTGTCAAAAGCCTCTTATGAGCTTCATGAGTCTCAGATAGGGACTGTGTTACATGATAAAAAAAAACACACACAAAAAGTTCAGCTGCAGGCTGCACACAATAAAAAAGTTAAATAAGAATATATGCTTTGTATTATTATTGCTACCCTCCTGCCTGACCTAGAAGGTTTTCATTTTAGGGACTCCATCCCAAGATCTCATTACAGGTTTTTAATTGATATTTCAAAATCTCCCCAGAATGCAAGAAAAGTCTTGCTGCAGTTCACCTTTCTTATTTTTTTTTTTCACACTAAAGGTCGATGAGCAAAAGTAAATGTATCCTTTCTGATTGCAAATCACACACATCCATACAGATCCCATAAACTGTGGCCAATATTTCAGATCTGTTTCAACACCACAGGCAACACTAGATCTGCTTCAATGAACAGTAATGTCAATCCAGACTTTACACTGCAAAAGCAAGAAATAAAAGTGAGCTGAACTTCAGCGTCCAAATTTGATACTGAACTCTTCCAACGTTTGAAGTTGTTCAAACTGGAGGGTTTGGCTCCATCTTTAGGAAGCAGCTAAAAGTAATGTGGTGCATTATTAGCTAAAATGCCTCAGAAGTTCAGTTTGTGATGGAAGCAAACATATATGATATGAAAATACAGTGTTCTGCTGCATATGTTGTGTGACCTTATATCATAGACATAAGATGTGAAGGTACCTTGGATACAGGTGATCATGAATTTTTACACTCAGAGGGGCAACAGGACCAAAATTTAAAGAGACATGCAGTTATTCTCAGGTCAAATATACACTTATCTGGATGCAGCAACTGAGCAACCAAAGCACTCTCCATCTACATTAGCCACTATTTAGCATTTGAAACAGATCCTACCAAACTACGAGAAATGTGAGATGGTATCAAAAAGTCAGTGGACGCATCACAAATAACTGGAATCTTGTTCAGATACTTTGTCTAATTATGACTTATTCAGAATGTAGTGAAGTTAATTTTCCCATTATTTCTGGCATTATTTTTTTCAGTAAAATAGTAACTCTTTAAGAGTCCAGTCATTATAAGTTCATTTGGTATTCATGGAAATAGCAATGATCATAATGAATTCATTTGGTATTCATGTGAATGTCACATGTACTTCCATAGAGGTACTGTTGTAATTCAGTTTTAGTTAGCTAACTTTTTGCTTTGACAGTGACTATTTCTTTCGGTTGTGCTTTACAGACGGAAAGGGTGGTCTGGGCTAAACCACAAGACTAGAAGTAAGGAGATCTGTGTTTAATTCCTGATTCTGTTCTGGATTTCTTATTTGGTCTTGGGTAAGTCACTTAACCTCTCCTTATCCCTTGTCCCGTGGGTAATGGGAATATAATTTATCTCAAAGCACTGTTAGGCAACTTAACCCATTAATGTTTGTAAAATGCTTTGAGACACTCTCTCCCCCTCTAATGGAAGATACTGAAGACATGCAAAGTATTAATTATTATTTTTAAAACCTTAATGGGAGGTTTCCTAGGTTTTCTTTAGCCCTTGTTTTTAAATCGGCACAAGTGGCTTCTAAAACCATCCCAGGGGCCATGATTTTCAAAAATGACAAAAGATTTTGTGCCCAACTTGAGACATTTTTAGAGGGACATTTTCAGAAAGCTTTCAGCACATGCCCTCTGAAAATCAGGTCCCTTTAAGTTATCACATATTGGGAATCCAGAAATTGAGGCAGTCTCTTCTGATAATCTTGGCCTGTTTGACTAAACACAGGCTCCTTTAAAATCTCAGCCTAAGGGAGCAAGGTGCTCATATTCCATTGATATTCAATGGGACTCATGTACTTAAATCCTTTAAAGCTCTTTTTAATATTCCCATTTCAATATTCAGGCATTGTGATCATCTAGTCCAGAGGTGGGCAAACTAGGGCCCACTGGCCACATCCGGCCAGCGGGAGGGTCCTGCGGGCCCCTGAGCTCCTGGCCCGGGAGGCTAGCCCCCGGCCCCTCTCCTGCTTTTCCCCCTCCCCCGCATCCTCAGCTCACTCCACTGCTGGCGCAATGCTCTGGGCGGTGGGGCTATGAGCTCCTGGGGCAGCGCAGCTGCAGAGCCTGGCCTGACCCGGTGCTCTGTGCTGCGCAGTGGCGACGGCGTGGCTGGCTCCAGCTGGGTGGCACGACTGTAGCGCCGCCAGCCACCAGTGCTCCAGGTAGCGTGGTAAGAGGGCAGGGAGTTGTGGGGGGCTGGATAGAGGGCAGGGGAGTTCGGAGGTGTGGTCAGGCGGCAGGGGTGTGGATAGGGGTCAGGGCAGTCAGAGGGTGGGGAACAGGGGGGTTGAATGGGGGCAGGGGTCATGGAGGGGCAGTCAGGAAGGAGATGGGGAGGTTGGGTGGGGCGGCGGGGGGC